CACGCAAAACGACAGCATGAATTGGAAACCATTTTAAGGCACATTATAATCATAAAAATCATAGATTGATGTTCGTTGAATTTGAAGAGCGGCGGTCGTCGCGTCGCGTCTACCGCCCTTTAACAATGGTCTTTTTCATTGCTAACATCGAGAGTGTAACAAGTGGTATTCAGATACCGTAGTTTTATGTATTTAATCTTTGACATAATTATGTTAATGTTGTACGCATGCGTAGTATTGTGTTGTTCTTGAACGGCATGGCCGACACTCATTAAAGTGTAGTTGTTTACCGACGCAACAAAGACACTGTTCACGTTGTACTCGCTTCCGTTTTCGTCCAAGATCTATCTAAAATAAGCGATCTTGGAACATGGTGTCAGAAGTGGCGGACTGAAAAAGAACTGAAAATTAAAAGACAGAGAAAGAAACAGTTTGCAGATCGCCGTCCGTTCGATAATAATGCGCGTGAATACGGCATGGTAACAGAAAACTGTGAGTAAACGAGCCTTATACAGAACAGTGCCGATTGCAAATAACATCGTTGTGATTAAATTTGGGACATTTAGAAGCTATATGTCTTTGTGAACATTGCACGGAAAGCACAGAAATCACCTGTTACACGTGTATGTGGCGAGATACGGTAGCCCAGAACAGCAATCATTTCCAAGAAAATACAGTGTCCCAGAAGTACAATCACATATTCACAGAAAGTAGCATTCCAGCAATTTTGAAGTAATTCTTGATACAGTTGAAAGTATTAATGCATTATGGAGCACCTTAGAGCACCAGACACGCTTGATGTCAATGCAAAAAATCTATCTTTAGTTTGGAAAAGATGGAAAGAAGAATTACTGCTGTATGTGGATTTAGCAATGGCAGGTAAACAGGAAAGCCAGAAATGCAAGCTTTCCCTATACCTTATTGGCAGAGAAGGTAGAGAGATTTATGAAACCATGCAACTTACTGGAGATGAAAAGGACCGAAAGCTGGATGAAATAATAAAAGCTTTTGACAGCTACTGCAACATTAAGACAAATGAAACTGTGGAACGCTACAAGTTCTTCACTCGTAACCAGGAGCCAAATGAACCACTGGAAAAATATGTCACAGATCTGAAAATCCTAGCTGCAACATGCAATTTTCTGACTCTACAAGAATCACTAATTAGAGACAGAATAGTTTGTGGGATAAATGACTCCAGACTCAGAGAAAGACTGCTGAGGGAATCTGACCTGGACCTCACTAAATGCATACAGACATGCAAAGCTGCAGAAATATCCAAAGAGCAGATTAAAACATTAGAGGCCCCAGCAATGGTTATGGCAGTGAAACAGCAGCAACATAGATTTAAGAAACCGCAGTGGAAACAAGCACAAGACACAGTTACTTGCAAATACTGTGGAACAAAACACAAGAGGAGCAAAGAGAAATGCCCAGCATATGGCAAGAAATGTCTCTACTGCAAGAAGATGAATCATTTCGCTAAATGTTGTTTGAAAAGAAACCAAAGCCAGAAAAAGGTTCACTGTTTGGCAGAAGATATGGAAGACAACAGTGACGATGACAATTATGAAGAAATTCAGTCAATAACATTAGCTGAAAGTGAAGAGGTGAACAAGGTAACAGAAAGCCCTTAGGCGAAACAAGTGTTTGCTACAATGAATATAGACAAACACCCTGTGAAGTTTCAACTAGATTTGGGAGCAACATGCAACATTATTCCTAAATCATGCTCAAGCAAGATCAATGAATATGAAATCACGGATTCTGGAAAGTTACTGATCATGTACAACAAAGCAACATTGAAGCCATTGGGACATACCAAAGTGAAAATGGTAAACCCGAGAAATGGAAAAAAGTATTTAGCACCATTTGTAGTTATGGATGATGAGCAAAGTACCCCACTGCTCGGAAGCAGAGCAATACAGCAGATGAGTTTAGTAAAGATCAACTATGACCAGATACACGCAGTAAATGACAAAAGTGAAGAAAAGACAAGTCAGACGCAAGCAGTGGTGAATAATCAGGGTGTACAGCCAATTACACCAGCACAACTTCTAAATGAATATCCCGACGTTTTTGAAGGAACTGGATTACTTGAAGGGAAGTACCATTTGAAAATAGACCCAAATGTGAAGCCAGTTGTACATGCACCCAGGAAAATGCCAGTAACCATCAAAGGTCCAATGAAGAAGAAACTGGATAAGCTTGTGGATGAGAACATTTTAGCTCAAGTAACAAAACCTACACCATGGTTTCAAGCTTAGTGGCAGTCGTGAGACCAGACAAATGTAGAATCTGCATAGATCCCAGAGACCTGAATACTGCCCTCCAGAGAAGTCATTATCCAATGCCAACCATAGATTATATACTGCCCGATGTGGATAATGCAAAGGTGTTCACGGTATTGGATGCCAAGAATGGATTTTGGCACATAGAACTTGATGAAGAGAGCTCTTATCTGACCACCTTCAACACACCTTTTGGCCGCTACCGTTAGTTACGAATGCCCTTTGGTATTTCAACGGCACCAGAGGAATACCAACGTCGACAAGATCAAGCCATTGAGGGTCTTCCAGGAGTCAAGTCCATAGTGGACGCCATATTGATCTATGGAGTTGGAGATACGGTTGAACAAGCCACTGCAGATCAGGACATCAAGTTGAAAGCCTTAATGGAACGTTGCAGAGAGCGCAACTTGAAACTCAACAAAGAGAAAATCAAGCTCAGATTAAGCGAAGTTCCATATATTGGACACATCATCTCAGAAAAAGGACTCCTACCAGATCCAAAAAAGGTTGACGCAGTGAGACAAATGGAAAATCCTGAAGATGTAGCGGGAGTACAGAAATTCATAGGCTTTGTAAACTACCTAAGCAAATTCATACCAAAACTAAGTGAAAAATGCAAACCACTTAGAGATCTAACACTGAAAGGAACTGAATGGTGTTGGTTGGAAATACACGACAAAGCCATGGAAAGAATCAAACAGCTAGTTAGTGACCATACTGTGCTGAAGTACTATGATGAAAAAGAAGAACTTACATTACAAGTAGATGCATCAGAAGCAGAACTAGGCGCAGCATTGACACAGAAAGGTCAGCCAGTAGCATTCGCAAGCCGAGCCCTGATATATACTGAGAAGCGATATGCTGAGATTGAAAAAGAGATGTTGGCTGTTGTGTTCGGAGTGGAAAAGTTCAACCAGTATACCTACGGCAGAGAGGTCACAGTACAGTCTGATCATAAGCCTTTAGAAGTTATCATAAAGAAACCACTGCATAGCACACCAAAGCGATTACAGAGAATGTTACTAAGATTGCAACAATATGACATTAACTTAGTATATCACCCAGGGAAGAAAATGTATCTAGCTGACACACTGAGCCGAGCATATTTGACAGATCAGCCACCAAAAAAAACCGCAAGTAGAAATAGAGTCAGTCAACATGGTACAGAGTCTGCGCCTCTCACAGCCAAGATGTCAGGACATCAAGACACACACAGAAAGCGATCAGAGCCTACAGCTCTTGACAAGTATGATTCAAAATGGGTTTCCAGAAACCAAGGCTGAGATGCCAATAGCACTAACACCATATTTCCAGGTTCGACATGAACTCAGTGTCCAAGATAGCATAATATTCAGAGGAGAGTGAGCTATAATCCCCAAGTCACTTCGACATGACAAGCTTAAACGTGTCCACTCATCACATCTTGGAACAGAGGGATGTCTCGGAAGAGCAAGAGAATGCTTATATTGCCTGGAATGAATGCAGAAATCAAAGACTACATTGACAAATGTGACGTGTGTCATATGTTTAGAACGCAGCAACAAAAGGAGACTTTGATCACACATGAGGTCCCAGTCAGACCATGGGCCAAAGTTGGCATTGACCAATTCGTATTTGATGGAAATGACTACCTGGTCACAGTAGATTATTTCTCCAACTTTTGGGAAGTAGACTACCTACCCAACACAGAGACAAAGACCATCATCAGAAAGCTCAAAGCTCACTTTGCCCGTCATGGAATGCCAGACATTTGTATTTCAGACAACGGACCACAGGAAGGATCAGAGGAATTTGAGAAATTTAGCAAGGCTTGGAACTTTAAACACATTACATCATCCCAAGGTATCCACAAAGTAATGGGAAAGTAGAAAATGCTGTGAAATCAGCAAAGAGCATAATGAGAAAATCCAAACTAGCAGGAACAGACCCATACCTCGGAATACTTGACTTCAGAAACACACCAACTCAAGGCATGACTACAAGCCCAGCACAACGACTGATGAATAGGCGAACCAAAACATTATTACCCATCACTGACAAACTCCTCAATCCAGCAATTAACCAGAGAGTGAATCACGAAATAAAGAAGACAAGATAGACAAGCATATTACTACAACAAGGATGCCAAAGACCTACCAACACTTAACCAAGGAGATACTGTGAGAATGATGCCTTAGAACAAATCAGATAAAGTATGGAAAAAAGC